CTCGGGTAACGAACTTCCCTTTTGAAGTCTGCTACGAGGAGCTTTTCGACCTCCTCGTCGACCGCCCTCTAGCGCTCTGGGGCTAAGTTGTGTTTCTTCTGTCTAATGGGTCTGACTACAGGGTCAGTATTAAGTTTGTGAGTTATAAGGTTGGGGTCAATACCGGGCATATCGGCCACGGACCATGCAAAAATATCTAAATTTTGAAGTAAGAAACTTACCAGTTTGGATCGTAGAGGTTCTTGGACGGAAGCACCGATCTGTAAAGTCCAAGTTGGGTCTGCAGCTGAAGTTGGGATCGCGACCGTTTCTTCTGTGGGCGCAGCTCGTTCTTCGCCTTGCTCCGTAGGCCGCTCCAGTTCGAAGTCGTCGGCCACCTTGGTTTTTCTCTTTAGGGCGGCAACATAGCACTTGCGGGACTCAAGTTGGTTGCCCCACGCTACCCCCACATCGAAGTCTATAGGAAACTTCATGGCTAAGTAGTAGGTGGAGACCACTGCCCATAGGACATGAGTGATTGGCTGCTTTATTATGGCATTGTATGGAGAGGGGGTTGCGACCACCAGGAAATCGTGGTTGAGTCTGACCGCACAAGGCCACGTGCCGACTTCCACAGGCACTGTTATTTTCCCGAGGGGCCTGACTTCCTCTCCGTTGAAACCCACCAGAGGAGTGTTCGCGGGCTTCAACTCGCTTCTCTGCAACTGAAGCTGGTCAAACGCCAACTTGAAGAGAATGTCCACCGAGCTGCCTGAATCAACAAGTACGCGCCTGACTTCGAAGTCGCTGATCCTCAGCTTTATGACAAGCGCATCATCGTGGGGGTAGTGGACCCCTCGCGCATCGTCTTCCATGAAGGAAATCGGTTCCTCCGTCTTTGGCCTCTTCGGAGGGTTTTGTTCTTCTCGGACAGCTTCGCGAATTGACGTCCAGGCCGCTGCCGAAGTACAACCCGCTACCACCGAACCTCCCACTATCACGTGGATGGTTCCCCGAACTAGCCTCTCTTCCGGAGGCTGTCTTTGCGAAGGTTCGGCCGGCCTGCTGCTGGACTCGGGGGCATCTCAACCGTGCTCCCCCTGCCGACCTATTTTATTATTATTATTATTATTATTATTATTATTATTATTATTATTATTATTATTATTATTATTATTATTATTATGCCATACAAAATTTCTCAAGTACCCGCGACGGATGAGTCCCTCTATCTCGTCCTGGAGATTATTACAATGCTCGGTACTATGACCGTGGTCTCTATGGAAGCTATGTACAAGTTTTTGTTCCTCTCATTTGGGTTCCCTTTTAGGCAAGGTGGCCATTTTACATACGGGGCGTCTTTGATCGTCATCAAGATCTCGGTCCGCTTCATGTTCAAGGGTGTGTAGTCCGCCCGAGCTGCTAAGGGAGCTCGGAACGGATGGCTCGGCTTCGCCTCCCGGGCTAGATCTTTCCTTCTTCTGTCATCTAGGTTGGAGGGCTCACCTTCCCTCTTCCTTTTCTCGATCCCGCTTTCGGTCCTTTGGTTGATCTCCTCCTCGGTTCTCATGAATTTATCCACGAGTTTGAGGAATTCAGCTACGGCCGCGGGCTGGCTAGCTACCATGTGCCACTTGAACTCCATGTGTGTCACTCCTCTCTTGGCTGCCGCAAGCTGCACCATGGGGTCCAGCCGCGGTATCTGCAAGCACGCATCGTTGAACCGCTTGGTGAGGCCCTGGATGGACTCTCCTTCCCTCTGGACTACTCCGAAGATGCTTTCCTCGGTTCTGGGGCACCGCTTGCTGGTAACGAAGTGTGCGGTGAAGACCTGCACGAACTGGGTCCACCTTCTTATTGACTTGGGGGCCAGGTTCCTGTACCAGGTGCGGGCCACCCCCTGAAGGTGGTAGTGAAGGCCACGCACATGCATGATTCACTGGCCCTTGCCAGGTGCATTTGGGACTAGAAGGCATCGAC